ATTCCTACCGGTTGTTTCATTCTTAAGCTTCTCCAGATGTCGCCTATATAAACAATATATAAGTTTGTATTGATAAACTATATGTAAAATGAATATTTCTCATCTATATTACTTATTTTATTTGTTACCTTTGATAGTCTGCGAACATATCAAGGTTTTCCAGCACATATGCATGAATTTGATCTAAGAGAGATCTCAGATATTTTTCACGCTTCCTCTCCTTATGAGGTGCTTGAGATGTGGTTTCTTCTTGCGCATGTAACGTGATGCAAACACAAAGCATTTGTTAGCCACGTATCCTTCAGCTATCGAGCCCTCGGGACGAGCTCGATTACGAACATTGTTTTTGATGCAGCCCAAGTATCTTAGAATCATAAAAGTTAATTATTAGCACGGTAATTTTAAAAACGCATATACAATTAATAAATATAATAAAAATCATAAATTACCTTTTAATCGGATACATCCAAAGATAAGTAACAGGACCGGCGATTCTAGCCTCTCTTGCAAGATGCTGGGTATGATGGACCATAATTGTAAAAAATGAAGGAGGAAATATTACTTCCATATTGTATAGAGTAACTCGGACATCGGCTTCAAGTTTTTTAAATTCATCTACATCTATGACTTTAGAGCATAATTGAGTAACTCGGACATCGGCTTCAAGTTTTTTAAATTCATCTACATCTATGACTTTAGAGCATAATTTTCTGAAAAATCCACAATACTCAATCATCTATGACTTTAGAGCATAATTTTCTGAAAAATCCACAATACTCAATAATAATCTTCGATGCTTCTTTCTCCATATTGTTACGGATTACAACAGGGAGCAATTGATGGAGAAAAATATGATAATCATGTGTCTTCAGACCTAAGAGTTTTCTCTCTTTCACCTGGACATTATTTGAAATGTTAGCAGAGTAACCATCCGGCGACTTTTCCGATTTGAGAATTTCACAAACTCATTGCATCTGCTCATTTGATATTGTAACACAAGACAGATGCAACTTTAATTTTTTAAGGCCAACGTCTTGAGCTTGTAAATCATTTCGGATATTCAAAGCAGTCAGATCTTGGCGCGCCCGTAGGTCATCCTTCGACTTGTTTGCATCTTGTTGGAGAGTTGATACTATGTTATCACATATATTTTTCTCAATATGCCTAACATCTAAGTTGTGTCAGATTTTAAGATTTTGCTAGTAAGGTAGCTGAAAGAAGATACTAAAGCATCAGCAGGATATCTCAATTTACCATCGTCTACTCGATCTTCCTTGTGCCACCTCATATTCTTTGTCGTTTCCTTGTTCATGTACAATCTTCGCAATCTAGGAGCCAATGGAAAATGTCGAAGCACCTTGGCTGGAATTTTCTTCTGTGTTATCCCTGTCTCCGTTGTAATCCTTGTTGAAGAATTTGTGCCCTACTTCCACCTAGAAACTCCACATGTCGGACACTCTTGAAGGTCTTTATTAGCTTTGTGGTACAAAATACATAATCTAGACCCAGAGCAGCGACAATCTTCTCAGCTTGATAAGTTGTTTGGGGTATGCTATTCTCTCCTCCAGGGATTACAGTCCAAAGCAAATCAAGAAGCATTTCAAAATAATTATCTGACATACCGCTAAGTGTCTTAATATGTAGGAGTTTCAGTATAAATGAAAATCCGGAGTACTCGGTACATCCCTCATATAAGTCCTTTTCACTATCTTCTAGTAGCTCCATTATTCGCTTTATTTCTGTGGAAGATTGCATATCATTAATATTTTCGACACTTTTGACATCTCCTACCTCTTCAGCTTCAACTTCGATATCATCTTCACTTTTATCTCCAATATCATCCTCAACATTATCATCAACATCATATTCTGTAGGTCGAGGAAAAATATCATTCAACATTGTTTCTGTGTCATCTATTTGTTGGTCATCGGATGTACCAACACGCATATTTGGATCCTCATCTTCAGTGATACCTTCCCCATGCCAGTTCCAATATTTATATTTCTCATCAAAACCTGATTTTATTAGGTGAATCCGTATATCATTTCTATTCAGCAGCTTCAAATTCCTACACCTACAACAAGGACAATACATAGCACCGCTTCTTAAATTTCTCGGATTCATTTTCGCATAACGCATGAAGGCTTCACATCCCTCCTTGTATCGTGTGTCACGAAATCTATGATGCCTAGGGATATTTATCCATGATTTGTCAGGAATTATCCTTATCTGTAAATTATATATAGTTATTAAATACGATTAGTCTCACAACTACTAATACATCCATGACACTTATACATTCAACACACATCAAACATACGTTCATATATCATTTAACAATATGAATATTTATCTATATGAAATATATATAAAACGTAATTAGAAACTAATTACACTAATCTAGCGGCTGTCATAGGAAGGCTTCTATCCATTAAGAATATAGTAGTGCTTACATCCAACTTCATATACTTTGTATATTTTCAATTCTTGAAAATTTCGGCAGCACCTACCCGCTGTTCTCCCTGTATACTGTGCGGATGTTATTATGCGTATCAGCAATAACCCGAAATGCAGAACAACATACGCTTATTGTACACAGAGAACAACGACTACATGCTGCCAAAACTTTTAAGAATGAAAATATACAAAGTATACAAAGTTGGATGTATGCGCAACTATATTCCTAACCCGTCCGAGAAGGACAGATCCAATAATTACGAATTTCAGTACTAATTTTTTATTCCTATAATATAAAATAAACGCTCATTTTCAGGAGAAAACTTCGTCTCCTACCCAAATCTGAGTCGTATATTATATATTATAAGTTCAAAGAATTGGATGTAATTATTGGACGGAAGTCTAGGGATAACGTTATTTTTTTATTCACCTAAATTGGATTATAACACATTATAAAAAATTATAATGTGTTATATATCACTCTATTTTAAAAAAAAATTATTTCACATATTTTCACATCACAAACTTAAATAATCACACCTACTTATAGCACGAATGAAACTTAAATGAGTTAGGGTTTATAAGTGTTTAAAAAAATATGATTACTAGTGTTGTTCAAATGAATTAACATGTAGTTGACTTAGGGTTTTCAGAATTGAACTCGTTTATTTTTTAATCATAAATTAGGGTTTTTAAACTAAATTTAACAATAAATAATAAAAAAATTAAAAATTCTAAAGCTCAGTAGAAAAATCATATCTTTTAAGCAGATGAAACAATGGACACATCAGTGATCACGATTAGCCTGCTGGAAAATTAGGGAAGGGGGCTGCCAAGGTGGGGGAAAGGGGAGGGCTGCCAGGGTGAAGGGGCTCGGGGGGGGGAGGGGAGGGAAGGGGGGAGGGGGCTAGGGGGGAGGGGCTAGGGGGCGGTCGGAAGGTGGGAGGGGAAGGGGAGGGGGCTAGGGGTCGCGAATGGAGGAGGGGGGAAGGGGGAGGGCTGGCCGAGGGGAAGGGGAAGGGGGAGAGGGGCGTGTCGAGGGGGGAGGGAGGAGTGAAGGGGGACTCGGGGGAGGGGGCTGCGAGGGGGAGGGAGGGGGGCTCGGGAGGGGGAGGGGAGGGTGCTCGGGAGGGGAGGGGCCGTAAGGGGTCGGGGGCGGGTAGGGAGGGTTATTGGCGGCGGAAGAGGGCCCGATGCGAGGAGGGAGAGTCCGGGAGCGGGGTCAGGAAGGGGAGGAGGGAGAGTAAAGAAGAGAGGGTGGGGGAGGGGGGAGGTAATTGAGAGAAGGGGAGGTATTGGGCTGAAATAATGGCCCTAGGCAACCTAGACGGAATTCTGTCTAGGTTGTATTTTTCGTCTCGTTTGTCAAACTAGACTGAATTTTCCATCTAGTTTGACCCAATCTAGACGGATCAACCTAGACGAAAAATTTCTGTCTAGTTTGATTCAACCTAGACGGAAAGTTTTTCCGTCTAGATTGGTCGTTTTTCTACTAGTGGAAAGATAGTTTACTAACCTTTATTTAGTATCTTCTAGTTTAATAACCTCTATTTAATATCCTCTAGTTTAATAACCTATATTTAATATCTTCCCAAATTCCTTTTCCCAAAATTTTTAAATAATTTTCCAATAAATCTTATAAAATTCTTTAAATTTATTGCTAAAGTCAAGCGTTATAATCCCTCATATTATACAAGGGCATTGCACCAACAGTTTCTCTGATAAAAAAAAACTCAATTACAACCTTATTAATCAAACATTTTGAGAACTTATTAATGAAACTTAAAAGGATTATAAATTGAAGAAGCTTCATTTTCTCATAGAGAAAGTTTTCGAGGAAGGGTGCTTGTGTTATAAATGGTAACCTCAAGGGGATCTAGGTGGAAATTTGTCTTTTTTTTTAATTTATTTTTTGAGGAGTCTAATTTTCAAATTGTACTAATGTAGAAGTAATATCAAATTTTATGTTAAACAATCTTCTACCATATAAGGCTCGCTATTAGCAAAAATATCAGTATAAGGCTCACTATTAGCAAAAATATCAGGGGTTTTCCTATATAAACCAAAAGTTCTGTACCGACTTTATTTCAATCAACCCACATCCAAAATCATTCTTAAGACTGAAATATTATATTATTTTTAAACAAAATTATATCTACCGATACATCAAATACCTGCAACAACTTATGTTCGAATATAGCTACTGGTACACCACAGCAACTTATACACATTAACGTAGCAACTTAGATCCATACCGATTTTAAAAATAGTTTAGCATATAATGATATTTTGGATATTTAGAATGATTTTGAAAGCAGGTGGCTTTAAAAAGTAAATTATTAGGCTAAAAGTCTGTATTTATGAATGAAAAACCCAAAAAAGTCAAATTCATTGCACCTTTAGATGAGCAGATGTAACGGATCCGAGCATATAATCTGCAATAAATTTCATAACGGATCTTAGGTCCGCAACCCGATAAGCCCACAGAGAGGTTTTAGAGAGGGAGAAAGAGAGAAAAAAGACATGCAAGAGGACTAATTTTCTACCGTTTTAAATCCTCTTAAATTCTCCTCCTCCTTCTTCTTCTTTTTGTTTTAACAATCACAAGAAATAGAGCAAAAAAGGCATCTGAGATTATTTTTTCGTCCTAATATTGAGAAAAGGTATGACCCTTAATATTTGTTTACTTGATAAAATTATTCATGATTGAAAATTTAGGAGAATTTTCCTTAAAAGCCTATGAGTTTCTTGAAGAAATTTTTTTTTGGGTTAATTTCTTTGTACCAACATGAATTTTTTTCAATACCATTGCCTTGAATTATGCAAAAAAATTAGGGATAAGTACCTCTGCAAGGCTTAAGATTGATTCATTGAGCTAATTTGCAATTCTAAAATTCTAAATTGTAATGGTAATTTATGTTGAATTCAAGAATTTAGGGTTAGAAATTTATCTTTAGCCATATTTAGGCTAAATGCTATGACCTATGGCCTCCTATTTATATTTTTAATTAAAGTTTCGAGTACTAGTTACCTGTAGACCAAGGCTTTATTTAGGATTCTATACATCTACATTTTCTGTATAGCGGGGTATTCACTTTCATTTTTTTAGTCTTTTTTTTTTGGGGGTAATATCCCCTCGTGAGAATTGGAAGTTAGCTCTTTTTCTCAGATATTTCTTTATGGTTATAAGTCCGCATTGCTATATTGTTAATTAATGGATACTATGCAGAGTATGGTTCAATTGTTTTCTAATTGGCAGAAGAATATACTCTTTCCACCTAGTTCTAATCTAACTTTACGTTCATAGAATGCTTGTCATGTGCCATTTTCTTAAACACCAACGAGATACGTTAATCAATAGTTTTTTTCATTTTGTCTTTTCTGATTCAACTATCCCTAGGGTGCACATGTTTTCCAAACAAATAAACAAGTCACAATCAAGATTCACATGCCTTATGGTTATAGGATAAAAAGTATACGAAAACACGTTTCGAGGATTGATGGCTGTGTATGCCCATTTTACTTTATTTTTCTCAATTCTGTAGTTTAAACTCGGGCCTGACTTTGATGTTGTGAGCTTCTGACATTTTAGATTTAATCATGCAGTGGGTCATAGATGGTGTTACATCTAGTCCAGGTAGTAGTAAGAGGCAATTAAACTATTTTGCGAAGTTATGTTAATTTCAAATCCCTTTTAATTTTTGATTAGGGTGCTTCTAATGATCATGGCACACACCCATAACTAGTACATGCCTTGGGCACTCTATCGTTTTCATTTTCCATCCAAATTGTGTTTTTTTATTATTTTGGACATAACATTATCTTTTTTTTCTATTTGTTGACTTGATCGTTCGGAAAAAATGTAGAAAAGTAGCGAGCGTGGATTGATTGTCAGGAAATACATCCAAATGATCATTTTCATTTTTGGAATGGATCAATCATCAAAATAATGAGATCAATGAAGATCAAAGGAAAAAAAAGCAGTATGGTTGAAGAGGAGAACTGCTACTTGAGTTTTATGTGATCATAGAATACTCATGAAAAAAAATCCTCTATACTATCAATGATTAATGATTGTGAATGCTGATATTTGATAGTTTAGAAATAACATGGCAAAATATTAAGTGTATGAATTATAAGAAAGCTGAGATGAACAAGCGTATATACAATTAGGAAGAGAAATGGGTCACAAGAAGCAATCAGGACTACAAGTAGGCCTAAATGAACTTGGATATAGGAAATTAAGAATAAAAGAACTTGGATATAGGAAATTAAGAATATAGTAATGGTTAATTAACAGAAGAGAGAAATCTTAATAGAACTGAATGGAGAAAAATGAACTCATTTGTTTTATCTTAAAAATTTAGATTAGAACTTTTGTTGTTGTTTCTGTATTGTTCAGTAGATGTCAGCGCACGACATGGACAAGGGCCACATTAACAGGCATAATATGAGCACCCAATTTAACTAGTTTGTCTAACCGCACCTATTTGATTTATCTTACTCAATAATATCAGCAATTATAAATTGAGAAATGGTAACCATTTGACTTGCATTTGTTTGTTATAGTTTTTAAATTTCGATTTATTTTTCTTCCCATCTTGCATCACTTTTTTTTCTTCTATCTAGACATTTGTTTACTGGGTGTATTTATGAATGACATCCTTTAACCTCTTTTACAGATCTAACTAGTTTACATCTGACCATCTTCTAAAAGCATCAATGGCTGCTTCGGAGGACTCTAGCGCCCTTTATCCCTTTTTTATATTAAGTATGTTGGCAATCCCTTTGGTGCCTCACACTTTTTTCAAGTTACTTAATACAATTACTAGAAAGGCAAAGACAATTCATTGCCAATGCAGTCTCTGTTCTCATTCAAGGAAGTGCCGGAAGTCCATATTCAAGAGGGTTAGTTTGCTACTAGTTATTTGTTTTTTCTCGCACAGACAAAGAACCATGCCATTTTGATAAAATAGTCTGTAACTGTCTACATTTCATACTTTTTCTTATGCAGATCTCAACCATCTCAACTTGTAGTAATGTGGCATTTCTTCTGCTTTGGGCATTTGTGGTGATAATAGTTTATCACATTACACATACAAGCTATGAGGTATACCAGAAAATACTTGTTTCTCTCCAAGATTTCATTTTCTCAAAAGGCTGCACATATCGCATGGGGGGAAAAGAGTTGTGTCTTGCGCTTTGTCAACAGTTATAGTTTTGTATTGTATTTGGTTATCATGCCAAAGCTATATTCTATTTGTGTCTTTGTCATTTTATATTTGAAATATGAATTATAAAATAACCACTGAGTAGGAAAGGGAAATATTGCAATCTGCATACCAGTCTTTCCTAACCAATGCTAATTTGCGGTTTAGAGTATCATCTACTAATTCTTAAATCTGTAACTGATGTATTATCTGATTTTCCTTTTGACTTATTGTCTTATATTATTGCTCTGCAGATACAAGCATTTGAACCATTTAGTATTCTTGGGCTAGATCCGGGTGCTTCAGACTCAGAAATAAAGAAGGCATATAGGAAACTCTCCATTTTGTACCATCCTGACAAAAATCCTGAACCAGGTTGATAATTTCTCACATATTCTTCCACATTTCTGCTTGAATGCAGTGGCTAAACCTCCGTATACTGCAAAACTTACAGTGTATTCTATTGTTTCAGAGGCACACAACTATTTTGTGAGCTTTATATCAAAAGCATATCAAGCATTGACCGATCCAGTTTCTCGTGAGAACTACCAAAAATATGGTCACCCAGATGGCCGACAGGTATTGAAAATTCTTTATAGCAGAATATACTCATACTGATAGGTTTTTGTTTTCTCTAAATACCATTTAATCTTTGCATAAGTTTTTAATCTGATGAGATATTGGTTCAGGGGTTCCGAATGGGGATTGCTTTACCTTACTTCCTAATGAACAGTTATGGATCCTCTGGTGGAGTTGTCTTACTTGGAATTGTTGGCATTTGTATTATTTTGCCATTAACTATAGCTGTTGCTTATCTATCATGGTCTTCAAAATATAGTGGGAATTATGTCATGTACCAAACATTGGTTACATACTTCCAATCAATGAAGCCTTCTTTAGCTCCAAGGTATATAGACTTGCTTGTTATCCTGCATCATTTTTGTTCAATTAAGTATCATTGTTAACACATTTTTTTAAGTTTATTGATTTATTGGTCAACTATAAAATTAGTTAACTTCATCTAAGATTTCTTAAGCTGAAGTAGTTATTAGTTTGATATGACTAATTAAATGGTTAAATCTTAAGTGAATAACGCAGAGAATTATGTATATTTTTAGCAACAGGACATCCAGAAGTTGTAAATTCTTTGTCAGTAAAACTAAGTTTTCTTGTGGAATACTGCTTCCAAGACTTCATTCCATAAAAGAATTCCTATATGTTGATGACGTATAATTTTCTCATAGTTTTAGTTATGAGCCAATAAATATCTAAAGTAATCGCTTTCCTTGCTTAGGATCAATTATTCATCATGATGGTGAGGTTGTGGATGATGTTGTTCATCAAATCAAATCAAGGTGGTTAAAATTGAGAAATGCTTCTCGAATTTTATGTGAATATAGAATGCCTATGACATTGATGGGAAAATTCTATACGACATTTATAAGACCAATAATGCTTTTATGGATCAAAATGTTGGACAATAGCAAAACAACATCGACAAAAGATGAGTGTAGCAAAAGTGACAATATTTCAATTGTTTTGTGAATATACAATAGTAGATAGAAATGAATGCATTTGTAGGAGATTAGAGGTTTCTCCCATGGAGGATAAAATGAGAGAGAATCAATGGAGATGGTTTGATTACATACAACAAAGGCCACTAAATGCACAAGCAGGAGGAGTGATAAGACTATAGTAATTATGGAGCCTAAAGCCTAAGGGGTCAGAGGAAGACCTAAAAGAATTTGGTTGTAAGAAATTAAGAGAGATATGATAAATGGTTAACTCGACTTAGGAGATAGCTCATTGTAGGCGTCTAAAAATACCTATAGGTGTCCATACACAGCTTAAGACAGAGAGAAGACGACGAGCGTCGTTATCCGAGTCTAAGAGGATTATTTGACGCCGACGAGCGCATGAAGCGGAACGGCGAACCGACTGACCCGTGCACTCACCGGCCACCTCCAAGTGGCCCGTGCACTCGTCAGCCAACTCCAAGTGCCCCGCGTGCTCACCGGCTATCACTAAGTGGCCTGCACGCTCATCGGCCACCAAATCGGCGAACCGACTAGCCCGTGCACTCACCGGCCACCTCCAAGTGGCCTGTGCACTCGTCAGCTAGCTCCAATTGGCCCGCGTGTTCACCGGTCATCACCAAATGGCCCGCACGCTCATCGGCCATCAAAACAGTGTACAAGTCAACGAAACAACGAAATACGCGTAACGACAGAACAAGTCAGAACCCAAAAAACCGAGAAAGCCTCTGGCAGCCGAGTCACGTCAAAACGACTCGACCAGGCCAGTAGCTCGGCCATGCCACCATTTGGTGGCCCGACCAAGGCCGAGCCACCAAACGATGGTTCGGCTAGTTTCGATCCGAAAACACGTTCTTTTCGGTTTTGACGGGTTCTCTCGAGATTTGTTCGTTTCTGAGTGTCCTAACTGATTGGATATCATCCCCAAACGTGGTTACACATTTATTAACTAAAGATAAGGTTAAATCCATTGTTCTTATCTGAACCCCCCAACCGAAGCCTATAAATACAAGACTAGGGGCTCATTTCACGGGGCTGGAGATCAAGAGGGCGAAGCGCTGCCGAATTGGAGAGTGGAGCCACGAATTTACAGCGAGGATTAGAAGATCTTGGCGAATTCCTGTGCATAAAGAGTGGAGTTCGAGAGATCTGAGACCCGTCCCTTATCCCTCTGGATTTAAGCTTGGTCTTAAATCTCGAGAAAAATCGTGATCTTTCTTGGTCGAGATTACCGCTGCTGCGATTACTTCCTTCGTAAAGTAAGAGCTTTGATCAACTTAATCTATCAACCGGATCTGATCCGCGGCGATCTACGGATATTAACGTCCCTGGCACATGCGAAGTTCCCACGCAAGCAGCGGATGATAAACGTCCATTGCGCTGTTTGACAAAAGTTGTACTATTTTATATTTTCATTGTATAAGTCGATCTTATAAAAAGTTCTACTTTTCTTGTTTATTTGAGTTTATTGTAACGACTAAAGTTATAATTGATACAAAACAATAAAAACATCGATTTTTGACCCAAACAAGCTGGCAACCACAGTGGGAGTCAATAGCTTCGCTGTCGAAGCTATCGTGCCGCAACCATGGATCCGGATCCCGGTTGATGAGGAGGTCGAGTACGAGTTCGACCAACTGAAATTCGAGGAGTATCTGTTGTCGTCCTCCTCCAGATCATTCGCCCCTCACAAACACAGGAAGATCATGGCCTCCGTTACTGTTGTCATCTCGCCTTGCAACGCCCCTCCAGCCTCCAACGAAGCCGGATCTGCAGATCTGGACTCCTCATCAATCAAGGAGATAGTCGTTGTAGTCACGCTAACTTTATCGAAAAGAGCACGTCAAAAACAGCGCCAACGACTTGCGCGTCGACTTGCTAAGGCTTTGGAGTCAGTTGACGGGATTAGCTACGAAGCGGATCTGAAGTCCAGAAGATGCCACCCCCTTTAACAGCAAGCAAATGGCCTCTTCTCCAAACCAACAACGAATGAATGGATCCAAGTCAAATGGACACGTTCAACCCTCGAGGAACGCATTCAGAAGCGTCGCGTCTTGATTACGTACGCACAAATTCTCGTGCGAGAAGCGCAGAAGCTGAAGCAAAAAAAGGTGATCAAGAAGCCATCAAAGCTACGCTAAGTATGGAAACCAAAGTCCGAAACGACGTCGAAAAGAAATCGAACACCGCCTGGAACTCGCGAACCAGCCCTGGCTGGCTCAGCCAAAACCGAGCCACCAAATGGTGGCTCGGCCAAAGCCGAGCCACCATTGGTTGGTTTGCGCCTGAACCGAGCCGGTTCGGTTCGCTTTGTGTCCGGTTCACCTCCCGCGACCTGTTTTGAGTCTCTGATAGCTCCTATTCCTGTCCCGATGAATCTCGTACTTCCGGTGAAGCCTCACAACCACGGAGACTTGTCTCATTTCAAGATGAGGATGGCGGATCACCTGGGTCCTTTGCACGAGGATCGATGCAAGGTTTCGATCAAAGAACGCTTGGGTCTGGTGACTGAACCCCGGACAACCACTCGAGCTGGGGGTCGCACACACTCTCGCAACAAGTCAGAGCCTTCCTACAATGGGAAAACCCCTGCACTTGACCACCTCGGACGGCGAATTGAAGTCCAAGAGCCCGTCAAGAGTTCGCGCTCACAAAAACGTAGCTTCAAACGCGTGACTCTTAAAAACGCTAATAAGGCGACAAGCTATCAGAAGGAAACGTGTTGGTCAGACGACGGCGTTATACCTGAGGAATCATGCCAACACACGATAGGTTGCTCTGGTCATCTGACCGACGAGTTGTACTATCGGGCTGGGGGTACGAACAAGTCTCGGAAGAGAAGTACCCGAGAGACAAAATCTCACTGCCCGTGCGTCAAACTAGTCAGGATAGTATTATCAGCGTGTAGCTGTCCCAAGACCGCTCCTCAGAAGGTCTCGGTATTCGAGAAGATCTCCAACGGAATGGCTAAGTCCAAACCAAAACGCTTCCACAAGAAACGATTGGTTGCTCAAGATGAAGAACTTCCAGAAGTCACGATTAACATGGCTGATAAAGGAAAATCAATTCGACCTTCTAATTCTGACCCGCTCATATCGCATCATCTAACCCGGTTACGATCGGGAACCATTAGACAAAGGGATTATCAGAGAATGTAGAGGGGATTATTCTCGGATAATGAAGCATCAGATGCTAACTATGTAGTCGCTTTTGACAAAACGGTATCCAGCCTAGGACAATCCCACAAGGTGTTTATGATTAACACCGAGGAAGTGGCCAAAATCGTGGAGGATGCTCTAGCCAAGCAGAAGCAATCATTCAAAATCGAAATGAAAATGGCTATGCAGAAAATGAGACAAATGCACGACCAACAGATCCGAGCCTTGTCGAATCAAATAGGTGAATCCAGTCGTCGCAACAATGTTAGCCAAGCAGCTAGCGATTCAAATGTGGATGAATATATCAATGCTGACAACCCCCTATTGACCAAAATACTAGGGGTGGTCCCACTAAAAACGACGCTGGAGGTTGTCCCACCAATGATAACAATACTGGGGGTGGCCCCGTTGTTCCTCTCAGAAATCATCTGAAGCATGATACGGACGAGGACAAAAAGATAAAGGACCTCGAGAGCAAAATTAACGCTCTGATGTATGCTCGAGAGGTAAAGAGAACTGGTATTCCGTGTCCTTACCCACGAGAGGGATTCAATACCATACCCGACGAAGTTCAACCTGACCAACTTCACGCCATTCGATGGGAAGGGTTTGCCCACTCAGCATCTGATCTACTTTAAGTCTTACTTGGTCATGATCTCTGGCAATGAGGTATTGATGGTCCGGTCATTCGTCAGAACCCTTCGCAGGCCCGCCTTCGATTGGTACCGTCATCTCAATCCTGGAAGCATCAACAGCTGGGATGACCTAGAGAACCTGTTCCTCACTCACTTCTTTGATGATGATACCGATGTGTCAATCAGAACACTCTTCGATGAGAAACAGAAAGACGACGAGACGGTCGACGACTTCGTCAAGCGTTTTCGGAATAAGGTGATGAACTGCCGAGATCCGATCACAGAGGACTTCATCCTCCAAACCTGTCACAACAATCTTTCTTTGGACGTGTTGGAAGTTATGGGAGTAGGACCGTCCAATACCTGGAAAGAGTTGAATATGCACGGAGAACGGGTCGAACGCTTCTTTAGAAGGAAGAAAGCCGAAGGAAGCCAACTGACGGCTAACCCTCCAAACTCAAGCTTTGTCTCCCATGGTAAGGGGAATGCATCGGCAACAATAATTGATGTTAATCAGACGTCGTAACAGCAATCCCGGAGACTACCAAAGACTTCGGATCCGAAACTCCAAAAAGAATACTCCTTCAAGGACGAAGACGTTCTAACCATTTTCGAATCCCTTCTTGAGAACAATAAGATCAAGCTATCACCTATCGCAAATCAGGAGGAAGCTGACGATAATACGGATCCAAAATATTGTGAGTACCACAGGAGGATCCTTTATCCTACCAAGGCTTGCTTTGCTCTCAAAAATAGCATCCAAACCTTGGTTGAAGCCGGCGTTATAACGTTTAATTAAGTCGAATGAAGACTCCGACAAATATAAAAGTATAAACTGCTCCTTCCGACACTCCTAAGAGTATACGAGTATAAACTACTTCTCAAAATTCTAACAGGTATATGAGTCTAAACTGTTTTCTTTCTTTCACGGGAAGTTCCTGGAGAATATCATGCCTGGTATTCTTAAGGATAACCCGGTCATCCAACTAAGTATAATATCAGACCCGGTTTTGCAAAGAAAGCTGGGGGTAGATGATTCATGTAACCGGAAGTTTCCGGAAAAATGCTACATGTAATTTTTTTAGGGATAACCCGATCATTACAAACAAAGTGATAAACACTAAACTCCCACTGTGATTTCCGAACACTCTTTTGCTGAGATGAGATTCGATCATTTCGTTAGATCAATTTTCCCTCACAAAACTCTTATTGGTGTTTGACGACTCATAGTCTTCCACCACAAAATTCCCCACCGATCAGACTAATTGACAGTGGGATCACCAAAATTCCTTTAGGTTGAATCCACTCAAACTTCCAATGCATCTGTGCACTCAACATTCCCATTATTAAATTCCGAACATAGTATTTGGAATTTTAACATCTTGATCATTGACGACTGTCAAACCCCTCCGTGTTAAGTATTTGTCACCTAACACCAGGAACCACTTTGAGTGATTTGTACGAGTTAATACTCCCACTGTGATTGGTACCCCACTCTCACTGCCTACATGGTCAAACCTCCTATAGTTAGGGCCACAACCAAAATCTCCTCTCGATCCCTTTCACGAACAAGAGGTCCACTTTCAAATTAAGCGATCAAACCTATAAAAGTTAGGATCGTCTCAATCCTCCTACTTGGTCAAACCTTCGTACATTTAGGATCACAACTAAAATCTCCTCTCGATTCCTTCCATGAACGAGAGGTCCACTTTCAAATCGAGCGATCAAACCTTCCTACAGTTAGGGTCGTCTCAAACCTCCCATTTGGTTAAACCTTCCTTCAGTTAGAACTAAAACCGTAATTCACTCTCGATAAACGAGAAATTTACTTTTAGTTCGGTAATCAAACCTTTCGACAGTTAGGATTATCTGAATATTTTCGATTCTCGGAGTGGAGATCCCACTCTTAGTTTTACCTTCCCAAATTCTTAAAGTGGAGATCCTACTTTGAGTTTTTTTTGCAACTGAAGATAGAATATAAAATTCTTTCTCTTCAGCTTCGGGAGATAGAATATAAAATTCTTCCTTTCCCGTATTGGGTTTGTCTTTATCCTAAAAAAAGACTTAGAGATAGAATATAAAATTCTTCCTCTCCAATATCGGGTTCGTCTTTACCTCAAGAGAAGACACAATCTTTCAACTCCAAAATCCATGCTTCACACGCATGGAAAATTTTCCGAATCCTAAGTAAGGATAAGTCAACACCTAACACCATTGTCGGTTTAGTCTTTCACCGAGTGAAGAAGACACCAGAATCCAAATCTAGGAAATTTTATCCCGAAACCTAAGTAGGAATAAGTCAGCACCTAACACGCGTTGTCGGTTTATCCTTGATCGTAAAAAGAACAAAAACCCACATATTCGATATTGCGGCAGGTTATTATTAATAACACCATAATCCGTGTCTTACACGCATGGTGAGCTTTATCCCAAAGCCTAAGTAGGGATAAGTCAACGCCTAACACGCGTTGCCGGTTTAGTCTTTCACCGAGTGAAGAAGACACCAGAATCCGAGTCTGGGGATTTTTATCCCGAAACCTAAGTAGGGATAAGTCAGCGTCTAACACGCGTTGCCGGTTAGTTCCTGATAGTGAAAAGGACAAAAATTCACATATTCGATATTATGGCAGGTTGTTATTAATAACATCATAATCCGTACCTTACACGTATGGGGAATTTTATCCCGAAGTCTAAGTAGGGATAAGTCAACGTCTAACGCGCGTTGTCGGTTTAGTCTTTCACCTATTGAAAAAGACACCAGAATTCGAGTCTGGGGACTTTTATCCTGAATCCTAAGTAAGAATGAGTCAGCGCCTAACACGCGTTGTCGGGTAGTCTATTCCCGTAAGAAAAATAAAGTCTACGTATTCAATATCGTAGCACTAAAAGAGTTAACTCTCTTAGCACAACGTTACATACAGAACAGACTTAAACAATCTGCATGCTAGCGTGACTCAAACGGTAGTCGGTAAAGCTACGCCAAATCCGTTGAAGGCTGAGGGTTTGTAAAAAATCCTAAGTCTACGTCTAACACACGTCACCGAGTAGTCTATTCCCGTGAGAAAGAGAAAGTCTACGTATTTAATATCGCAACACTAAGGGAGTTAACTCTCTTATCACAACATTACATGCGGAACGGACTTAAATAATCCGCATACTAGCCCGACTCAAACAGTAGTCGATAAAGGCTCATCAAACCCGTTGATGGCTGAGGGTTTGTCAAAAATCCTATAAATATGAGAGTCATTGACGCATCAGCTCCATTAGTTGGTCTCATGACTTGAGGATCCGACAACGTTCATACATGCAGATGAATCAGTTTTAACAGTTGGTCCTGCAGCCCCTAACATTTGGGACCGCCATGCTCCAATGCCTTAAGAGCTTAAACTGTGTAGACTCCAACAAACGTACAAGTATAAACTGTGTTAACGCTGGTGAACGCATCGACAATTTCGCCAATATAAGGCTGAGGAAAAATTCTGGATTAAAAGGTGATTCTGGAGAGTTCAATCACATTTGGGTACAAACTTCCGACAAAGATGATCAGTTCAAAGTCAACTCAATGACACGAGCCAAGTTCAGAAACTTACACACTAATTTCAGTTCAAGATTTTAACAACGGTCAGACGATAAACGTAGCGCCGGAAGAATTTTATCTATTCGATAAGATACTGAATAGACTGAAGGCTGAAAAAGTTAAAAATTAAAGCAGTTCACGGGTCCCTCTACGAGATTGAGGAAAGGACCTATCTTATCCAAAGCATTCCAGACTCTTCTATAAAAGAATGAGTCTGAAATACTTTGGAGGGGGTATCTGTAGACGTCTAAAAATACCTATAGGTGTCCACACACAGCTCGAGACAGAGAGAAGACGACGAGCGTCATTATCCGAATCTAAGAGGATTATCCGACGCCGATGAGCGCATGAAGCAAAACGGCGAACCGACTAGCCCGTGCACTCATCGGCCACCTCCAAGTGGCCCGTGCACTCGTCAGCCAGCTCCAAGTGGTCCGCGTGCTCACCGGCCACCACCAAGTGGCCCGCACGCTCATCGGCCACCAAATCGGCGAATCGACTGGCCCGTGCACTCACCGGCCACCTCCAAGTGGCCAGCACACTCATCAACCGGCTCCAAGTGGCCCGCGTACTCATCAGCCGGCTCCAAATGCCCCATATGCTCATCGGCCATCAAAATGGCGATACAAGCCAACGAAACGACAAAATACGCAAAACGACGGAACAAGTCAAAACCCAAAAAACAGATAAAGCCCCTGGCGACCGAGTCACACCAAAGCGACCCGGCCAGACCAGAACGGGCCGAGCCACCATTTGGTGGCCCGGCCAAGGTCGAGCCACCAAACGACGGTTCAGCCAGTTTCGATCCGAAAACACGTTCTTTTCGGTTTTGACGGGTTTTCTCGGGATTTGTTTATTTATGAGTGTCCTAACTGATTGGATATCATCCCCAAACGTGGTTACACAGTTATTAACTGAAGATAAGGCTGAATCCATTGTTCTTATCCGAAAATCCCCAACCGAAACCTATAAATATAAGACTAGGGGCTCATTTCACGGGGCTGGAGATCAAGAGGGCTAAGCTCTGCCGAATTGGAGAGTGGAGCCACGAATTTACAGCGAGGGTTAGCAGATATTGGCGAATTCCTGTGCATAAAGAGTGGAGTTCGAGAGATCTTGAGATACGTCACCTATTCCTCTGGATTTAAGCTTGGTCTTAAATCTCGAGAAGAGTCGTGATCTCGCTTGGTCGAGATTATCGCTGCTGCGATTACTTCCTTCGTGAAGTAAGAGCTTTGATCAATCGTGATCTCGCTTGGTCGAGATTATCGCTGCTGCGATTACTTCCTTCGTGAAGTAAGAGCTTTGATCAACTTAATCTGTCAACCGGATCTGATCCGCGATTACTTCCTTCGTGAAGTAAGAGCTTTGATCAACTTAATCTGTCAACCGGATCTGATCCGCGACGGTTCACAAATATTAACGTCCCCGGCATAGGCGAAGTTCTCATGCAAACAGCGGATGATAAACGTCCGTTGCGCTGTTTGACAAAAGTTGTACTATTTTACATTTTTATTGTATAAGTCGATCTTATAAAAATGTCTACTTTTCTTGTTTATTTGAGTTTATTGTAACGACTAAAGTTGTAATAGATTCAAAACAATGAAAACATCGACTTTTGACCCAAACACTCATAAAAGAAAAGAATGAAGGAATAGGATTTGTTTAGCTAAGAATTTAGGATAAAGCTTTTGTTGTTGTTGTTGTTGTAGTATTAGTCAGCTAATTTATACTTTAAGACCTGGTACAAATACAATATTTTAACTTTTGATGAATGCACAGCAGTGGCCTGAATTCAACAGATGTGCACCTTTCTTCCATACTGATTCTGTTTATTGGAGATATGTGTCTTCCTTTTAACTCTCAACCTCATCATAAGATTATTTTATTTAGCATTTTTTCTAAATTTTTTTCTTGAATGCTTTATGACTGATTATTTAATGTATTATGGAATTTGTGGAGTGGCTTTCACTATTATTAATGATGCAGCAAAGTGTGGGAGATCTTCATAAAGTCTGCAGAATTCCGTAAAATTCCCGTTCGTAAAAGAGATAGTGAACCTATTCAAAATCTATTTGGCATGGTGAGAAGAGAGTTGAATATGGAGTCGAAGAAAGACCAATCATTGTTTTGGAAACAAGACCCTGGCCTAGTTAAGGTAGATCCATCTGTTGACATACGTGTGATATTTATTTATCATAATTATTTTACTTCATCAATTTGACATGTTGCTGGTATGCTTACATCATAAACCATGAACTTACAGATGGCATTGTTGCTTCATACTCAATTAACTCGTCAATCCCATTGTTTATATTCACCTCTACGGAGTGACTTAAAGCGCATGCTTGAGCTTGCACCTTTGCTTCTTGAACATCTAGTGGCGGTGAGTTAAATGAATATAAAATTAACTTGTCATTATATATATTATTTTAAGTCGTAATTTTTCTCAACAGTTTGTTTCAGATTGCTTCAGAGGTGCTGAATTCAACCTTTTCTTCCTGCTATAAGTAATGCAATAATGAATCACTTTGTTGAATTTCAAAATACTTGCTTTATGCTTCTAGATATCTTGTAAAGGAAAATTTCATGCTGAATCGATGCAGGCACATTTCTAGACAATTTCAAAATACTTGCTGAAATAACTTATTATTAATGCCTGTTTATATCTGTTTTATAACAATTAACAGCATGTGATGCCTCAATGAATTGCAACGAGTATTTTTATGATCCATTTGCAGATAGCTGTAATCCCACGCCCCCCTATTGGACGTGGATTGCTTAGGCCTGCGATTGGGGCAATTGAGCTTTCTCAAAATATCGTCCAGGTATGTTGTAGTTTTCTACTAATGTTATTATTATTTTGAGATCTGGATGATGAATGTAAGCTAAAGATAGTATATAGTCGTATCAATTCCTCTAGCTTCTGGTTAAATATAAATCCTCGACTGAAAATGGTTTTCTGCTTTGTTGCCGACTTTCACTAGCAGTTTGGCAGTAGTTTAGAAAACTTATTGGGTCTTTTTGAAACTGTGGAAGAATTCCTAGAAACAACCTCAGATTTCAGACAAACATCATCTTCTCCTGTGAGCTTTTCTTGCAATGATGTTCTTTCATATTCTTTGGCCCCTCTCGTTTCACTTCCTCCTTAAGTTTATCTTTTGTTTCTCTTTTCATTCCCTACCTAGTCCTCTGTCTTGTTTTCATGGGATTATAACAGCATTTAGATGCATGATGAATCAACAACTCTGAGGTGCATTTTCCAAGATTATAAAAATATCTTTTACAAAAATTTCCCTTTTGGTGAATTTCTATTTCGATTATCGATAATTTTGAGAAGATTTGGTTTCCTTGAGTTTGTATGGATATTATAAATTTCTAATGCTAGTACTCCCGTATGAAAACTGAGAATTCAGAAAACTGGTTGCAATTTTCTGAATGGGTTATCCATGGGATTTGTTCCTAGAACTCCAAATATTGTCTTTTCCAATGTACAAAAGCTCCAAATACTGTTTTTCTTTTATCCTTTTTTTTGGTTATGTGCTAACTGTAGCATTTGTACAATCAATATTTTTAAGCATGTAATATTGCTCTATCCTGTGCTGAAATCTGTCCTCACGATGGAAGTCTTATAAATACGGAAATGTCGTGGTGGCTCATTTTGTATCAAAATGTTAAAATGTGACCTTTACCTAGTTTTTGTGGAGGGATATGAGGGCATTAGTCCAATTTGTCGATGGAGAATGTTACCATTTTCTTGTGCATACATCACTACTGACTCGATGTTCTTTGAATTTTACTGGCTGATTCTGCTGCTGATGAATGTTCCTTCTTCTGGACTTTCTTTTATTTGACAGTCCACAGACTACAATGAATTATTATTTTTACAGTTTAATCATACTTCTTATTCAAGTAAGCATTTCGTTGTTCCAACGGAGAAATAAAACAAATAAAAACAATCATTTCTATCATTGTAATCCCGGATAATATTTCAAATTTCTGACTCTTCTGTTATTCAAAATATTTAGTTACTTTGTTTACCGATGCATATCCTACATTTATAACATCTAGCACGACACAGGCTGTGCCTTTACGTGCAAGAGAAGTAGTTGAAGGAAACCTGGACGGAATTGCAGCATTTCTACAGCTCCCACATTTCACCAAGACAACTACGAAGAAAATTTTCCCCAAGGTAATTTTTATGGCTGAGTTCCATGTATCCGCCTTCAAATTTTATAAAAGAAAATTATAAACTAAGCATTTTTTTTATCAACATGGCTCCTTGTAAATGTATGACAACCATGCGCCACCTGAGACAAACCAATAAATTTTTAGGAGCTCCCACATGTTTCATACACTCCAATCCCCACCACTTATCTAAATTTTTTTTATTAATTTTTTTAATTTTCATATTAAACTGTGAACATTTTATTGTATAAGATCGTATAAATCTCTATGGTGTAACTGAAAAGAAATTTTGGAGGACATATTGGCTAATAATCAATATTTTTATCTTCAAAATATGAATATCTTTATCCATGATGCTGAGAGTCAATCATGGATAAACTCGTAACTTAATGTGAATGAGTTGCAGATACAACTTAGTTCTTGAAGAGTGAATGTTGTAATACTTGATGCTTGTTAATTCCAGTGCATGCAACTGAAAGACATGGCATTGACTGAGTCTTGATTAAGACATTAAAACATAGTTGGTCCATTTTGTTTACCTATTTGTAGATGGTCAAAGTATATTATCTCCTTCGACGTATAAGTGGATTTCTCAATTCATGAGAGGTCCGGACTAATACTCCGTGCAAATAGCACAAATCTTATATTCGAGCTCAACACGAGCTCAAGAAGCGGATTCGAGCTCAAGAAGTGGACACCCAAGGGATAAATACTGAATCAGATCAAAATAGCTTAAATCCAAGCCTATAATAAAGACCATCGAAGCTACAGTGAAGTCTGCTCAAAAGTCTCATGCGAACTTCGCTCTGAGCTCAAGCCCAAATCAATGTGAATCAAGCCCATATGAGGCCCTCGACGAAGTTCTCTTCGCTGCCCAAGTGTACTTCCCCCAAAACTCAACGTGAAGAAGTGACGTTCAATTAGCCCAAGTGGCTACGTCACCCATATGAATCCCCTCTCAAAGAAAATGGGCTACCCATGTTCTGGCAAAGTTCGCCTATGTTCTGGCAAAGTTCGCCTAACCACTGCGAAGTTTGCTCAAGTCTCATGCGAAATTCGCTCTGAGCTCAAGCCCAAATCAACGTGAACCAAGCCCATATAAGGCCCTAGGCAAAGTTCGCCTGAACTTCACTCAAAACCTAATGTTAAGAAGTGACATTTTCTTAGCCCATGTGGACCATATCATTCACGTGAATCCCCCTCTCAAAGAAGATCTGCTGCCCAAGTTCTGACGAAGTTCACCCATGGCCGTTACAACCCACATTATGTGATGTTCACTAAAGTTTCTTCAGCAAACTTCGCCCACAGCCGTTTTATGAGCTATTATCAAGGAAATATGGGTTAACCCCTATAACCCCGATTTAAAAGTCATTAATCCATATTTAATGATCATTAACTCCCTTTACCTGAAGAGGGACTTGCTCAAAAAAGGATGAGAGAGAAGAGGCTTCAGAATCGACTAAGCAATTGAGAGAGAATCGGCTATTAGCAAAGCTTTTGACAAAAAGAAAGAAGACATTGCACAGCTAGCTTCTTCATCCTCTTCTTCCTTCATAGATCATCCTTTCTAATCAAGTTAATCAGTTAGCTTCATCTTAACGACCAGTCGTCTCTTTGAGATTAGCAGTAAGTCATTTTCTTGAAGAAATCAAATCAAAATGCATCCGGAAGATGAGAAACATACATCATTCTGAATGTCGTTGAGGGTATATTGTTATATAGTGATACCCTTTGACCTAAAGAATACTGGAGCTACCTAACAACATGCGATGATCACAATTTTTTATGAGCACTTGCGCAAAACGGTCGAGTGCTATGTTGATGACCTTGCAATCAAAAACCTCCATAAAGAGGATCACCTTCATGATCTGATAACAATGTCCGAAATTATGCGTAAACATAAATTCAGGATGAACCTGACTAAATCCTTTATGGGTGTATCATTAGGTAAATTTTTTAGATTTATCGTCACGTCCAAAGGAATAACGTTGTCCTAGAAAAAGTCAAAGTAATCTAGGAGATGCTACATCTCAGAAATTACAAAGAACTTAGAAGTTTGCAAGGGCGTCTACCCAATATTTGCATATTCATAGCTAATCTATCCGGAGAATGCTAACCATTTTAAAAGTTGATGAAGATGGGCGTTTCGTTCATCTTAGACAACCCTTGTCAGAAAACCTTTGATAATATGAATTCGTACCCTAAAAAGCAGTTAAAGGACAAGCAATTGCTGACTTCATTACAGATCATCCTGTACCTAAGTCTTCTAAGCTCAACAAGGATATTCCAGAGGAGGTATTCGAATCAAATGTCACCTCAGACCACCAAGTGTGGCAACTCTATTTCGACGAAAAATTGTAACAGAGTCATAGAGGAACTATCATCGCATGTGAGGAGGGTAGTGACCATCGTTCCCATGCTCATTGTTCTTCCCAAAACTTATTCATTGACCAAGCAATGTTCGAATAATGTGGCTGGGTTCAATGCCCTCATAATTGGCCTACAACTTGCCCAGAATATGGGTGTAAAGTATCTTGAAGGTTATGACGATTCTAAACTAATTATCAACTAGATTGAGAGGGAATACGAGTTTCGACACAATGATCTCTTGCCTACCATGAAGAAGCACTGAAGCTCACCTATTCTTTCGAAGGCTTCTGCATTAGTTATGTAGCTCGCCTTAAGAATACTTACGTTGATGCTTTGGTATTACTTTAGCTATTTTAGCATTATCATCTAGGTTTACCAAGCACATTACGGTAGCCAGCTACTAGTTATGTGACCTAAAATAGATCCTGAAAGCCAATAAGAATCATACTTCGCCTGGGAGTTTCGAAACTGCCCTAATCATTGACTATGCCTTACATGGCAAATCCGAAATAAATGATTTCCTCCAAAAGAGAGCGCTCTGCTTCTTTTACGACTTTGTCACATAGACACTATACCACTGATCATTGGACGACATACTGCTTAGATGCCTATTATCAGGCGAAGCTCAAGAAACACTCAAAGAAGCCTTCGATGGCACATATGGAGCTCATCAACTTGGATCCAAACTCTAATATCGAATCCGTCATCTAGACTATTATTAGCTAACGATGATCACAGGCACAATGGCTTATGCTAATCGGTGTCATACATGTCAATTCTATGTAGACTTCCTACAGCAACCCCAAAAGAGTTACATCCGACCGTCACTTTATGGTTGTTCAAGATGTGGGTAATGGACATTATTGGGCCACTTAGCCCGCCGTCCACCAAAGAACGCCAATTCATCCCGCTTAAAGAAGTCAAAACATTCACCAAAGGTCACCAACTAATTCTCCAAGTGGACCAAAGCCATCTCGCTCAAAGAAGTCAAAACATCGAACGCGATCAAGTTTAGGAAACATCGCGTCATCTATTGATTTGACACCCCTCGGAGGATCGTCCTCGATAACAATTCTTATCAGTCTACTGTTCTTTAAATTTTGTAATAAGTTTAGAATCTAGGACGTGCCTTCTTAACCATACAACCTAGTTGTTAATGGTCTAGCCGAAGCATTCAAGAAGACCATCAGCAAACTTCTCAAGAAGTTTGTCTTTTCTAATAGATAAGATTAGGATGAGAAACTCGGAGAGTGGTTTTTAACCTATCGAACAATGATCTGCACTTTCACGGGCGCCACACCCTTCTTGTTGGTATAAGAATGCGAATTCATAATACACTTAGAGATTCAATTTTTGTCATTGCGTAGTGCCCTCACGGAGAAGATGACACCAAAGAGCATCATAAGAAGTATCTCTAAGAACTAGAGGCGCTGAATGAGTTGAGATGTAAAGCTCAATAGTGAATCGTGATCTACAAATCATGAATATCAAGAACCTTCAACAGAAAGGTCAAAGAACGATCTTTCAGAGAAGGAGATTTGGTCTTGGTTGTTCACCAACTTATGGTCATGACACACAAGATAAATGCAAGTTCCAGCCCAAATGGGAAGGCTCGTTTGTGGTAGAGACTATCTACTTACCGCTTGATTGACTTGAATAGTGACAAGTTAATAGCATCAATTAGTGGTAAACTTCTCAAGAAATATTACCCTTAAATTGTGCTTCTCTCAGCTCCCTACGGCTACGGAGTCACCGGTCATGTTAAAGCTTTCACTTCTAAACATGAGAATAATTTCTCAAACCAAAGTCGTTAAATTCTTAGTTTCATCTTAACAAAATTCCCTAACAAGTCATCAAGTTACACCACACCTCTGTTTGACTTTATGTGTCTTTTACTACTGTCATGTTAACATTACATATTTGAACATTTTGCACCCTTGTGACCCGATCGGTTAACATTACACATCCATCGGTCCCTTTCATCAAGTCGACCGGTTTATATTACACCTCTATCGACTTTTCCTTTCACAATCGACTGGTTAATATTACACCTCTTCCAATCTCTCCTTGGACTTGATCGGTTAACATTACATCTTAGTACCCTTTTTAATTGACCTGTTAACATTAGACTTTTGTTGATCTCTCCTACCATTAAGTTAACATTTACACTTCTAAATGGTACTTTGTATGTGACCTAACCGGTTAACATCACACCTTTGTCAGTCACTTTATTGACATGTTAACATTACACCTTTATCAACTTTTTATTACGTTATGTGACCTGACCAATTAACATCACACCTCTGTCGGTCATTTTATTGACACGTTAACATTACACCTCTATCAACTTTTTATTAGACTCGACCAGTTAACACTACACCTCTATCAAACTACTCTATAGATCGGTTAACACGACATCTCTATCGACTCATTTCTCAGTTATAGTGAGATGTTATCTCGAAACAGATCTCATGATGAGTTGAATTTTACAACTCAGCCATTTCCCCCAATAGTTGTCAATGATTTTGGACCTCATTTGACATGTTAATATTATACCTCTGTCATTCAATCTTAAACCTCTAACACAGTTCAAATCAATTCTTTTGCCAGAAGTCAAACTCTATTGAACTAGCA